GGGGTACCAGCATGCAGAGCCTTTCACCATTCACATGTTCCAGTATATCAGTGATGACCATTGCCTTTTAATGGCTGTTCATTCTCTTTTGTGAAATGTACCATTGGTCCCAGCTCAGCATCAGACAAGCAGGATTTGACACTGCAGGATGTCCAGAACAGGACTAAGGCCCACCAGCGAAGTGATGCAGTGGAAACCTACACTTTCTCTTCCCTTGCAATATCTGAAGAAGGCTGTTGACTTGGTCCTTTTTTGGTCTAAACCTAAAGCCAGTGAAATCACTGAAAGTTTACTACTTCATATAATTACCATTTGCTTCTGGGATATGGAGCAAGCCCCATATAAGCTCTAAGTTAATTTAGGATTGATTTATTTATAAACAGATAAACACAACAGATTAACAGTTAATAACTAGAACCAACAAGCTCTGTTTTATTGTACAAACACAGCCACATGGTTCTGCAGGCTCACAAAGATAAGCAGGAGCATGGAAGAAGGCCTTGACTTTTTATCTCAGGTGGCTCAACTCAACAATAATTAGCCGCTGCATCTGCTTTTGTGGGCCGCCTACACGGCACAGCTGCAGAAGCTAACCCAGGTCCCTTAGAGAAAATTAGAAAATTATCTCTAGGAATTCATTCCCCTGTAAGAATACTCAAGTCTCACTTATTCTTTAGTAAGTGCACAGCTGTTGAAGGACTACCCAGATCTCAGTCCAATCCACTGTCATTTTCAATTGCTCACCATTGCAAAAGCTCCAAGATATACATGTTTCTGTACATGTTTGGTCAGTGTTTCCTCTGGCAATCCCTGTTTGAAGTAACAATAATTAAAAAATAGACTATAATTCTCCTAGAAAAGCAATAGAATAAATACTTAGGTAAAAGGACTGCTCTTATTCTAGGACTGTTCTCCTTGCCTCTGAAGGCTGCTATAAGACTGTAGCTTTTGATTCTGACTCTTCCAGAGGTTACCCAATTTGGCCAGCTTGGTGATCTCAGACAAGTACCATCCAGAAAACATCACTAGCTTCAACTTTTAGTTCTTGCTGTCGTGTCTTGAAGCATTATCATTTGACCATCCACAATGGGCATCTCTCATAAAAGATGCACCTTTCCCTGGGGGGGTAAGACTGTATTTAAGAGGAGACTGTATTTAAGAGAATGAAGTAAAGGCCATTTCCCATTTCTCCTTTTGAGAAGTCTTGGACTATATGTTGTTAAACTTGCTCATTTTAAGAATCTCATCTTTCAACAGCCATTTCCATCCAGCCTTACTGGTGTTTCATGGACTATCTAGGATGCTTTGTCTCATGTTTTCAAAAACAGCTGCAAAGTATAAATCTCTGGCACCTCATATTTTTAAATTTCCTATTTCTGCTTCCCAGCAGTTATATAGAGCATTTGACAGGACTAGCATTTTTCTGTATAGTGGAAAATGATTTTAGTCCCTCTTGAAATCCTCCAGATTTGTTGATGTTCTATTCAGCCTTATTGTCTCTTACTGATACTTGGATGATAGCCAGACATATATAAATTGCTCCTTCTTGCACTCTAACTGCTTTCTATACCTTTGTTTCACTGCTTTCTAGCTGATACCCAAGGCACTGATATGTATTTCTGTCAGGATTCTTCATCATACTTTTTTTCTTTGTAAAGTTGGCACATCTGCTCATATATAACCTCTCTTTCTTAGCATCTTCGAGTCTATCATCACTAAAGCTAAAAGTCTTAGGGTGAAAATGTAGCTTGCTCTTTACACTTATTGAAGGAAGTGAAAGCTTGGAAAAGAAGCTCTGGACACCATAAGGAGGCTGCTTAAAGTACTGAAGGAGAACAATCTCAAAAGGGGCACCAATCCAATTTCCATGTCTGTGGGCAAGCAGGGTCAGACACAGGCATGGGTGAACCGGGTGGCTGCCCAGACAGAAAGGGGGCCCCAAATGGTGAAAATAATGATGATTATTATCATAATCTTTGGCAAAAGGGAGCCCAATACTAAAAGTTTGCTACCAGGAGTCTAGGTACAGTGCTGTGGGCAGGGAATAAACTAGCTTTAAATCTGCCCCTACCCGTTACCCCTACCCCCAGTGCCTCAGTCAGTAGTGCTTAGCCAAAACAGAGATTTAGTATCCTATGCCAAGAGTGGGTGCAAATTACTTCTTCAGTGGAACATAGAAGAAACTGGACACTGAGAATCTGACTGAGTATTTCAGTCCTGGTTTTCTCTTGGGTAGCAGATATATTCTAGGTTTGTGGCAAATCCATTATTTAGCCTTTCCTAATGAAGAATTCTGATTTCTCACAATATTTTCTCCTTAAAATAGAAGAAAAATTTGAAGATAAAGTTCAACGAGATTAATTTAGGGAGCTACTCTCCAAGAAATAGGTGAGGTTTGGGGCAGGAATGAGGGGGTATCAGTTAAGGAGCAAGTGACTTCCCACTGACTGTAAAGCCAGCTTGGCCCTGCCACAGCTTGGAACAGTTGCTGAGCTGCTTTAAATGACATCACTGACAAAATAACTTACTGTATTTACTCAAATGCAAGATGAGGTTCTTTTTCTTGTTCAACATGGGGGACACAAACCTCTTCCTACTTTTGAGTATGGCCCAGGCCAGGTGACTGCTACAGCTCCAGTTTTGGCCCTGACTCTGACCCCAACCTGGGGAGTCTGCATGGTGCAGGGTGGGTGGAGTGGGAGGGAGATCGTGTGTTCTAGGTGTGGGGAGCACAAAGGAGACCACATAGTGTATAGCCCAGAGAGAGCATGGGATTGCTGGTGCAGCTCTGACTTGGGCCTTGGACCTAACCCAGGGCTGGGACATAGTTTCATAGTTTCTAGGGTCAGAAGGGACCTGAGAAGATCATCTAGTCCGACCCCCTGCCATGGCAGGAAAGAGTACTGGGGTCAAACGACCCCCGCAAGGTGTTCATCTAACCTCTTCTTAAAAACCCGCAGGGTAGGAGCCTGCACCCTTGGAAGTTGGTTCCAGACCCTAGCCGCCCTGACCGTGAAATAGAGCCTTCTGATGTCTAACCTAAACCTACCCTCTGCTAGCTTGTGACCGTTGTTCCTGGTCACTCCTGGCTGTGCTTGGGGGAACAGTGACTCTCCCAATGCCTTCTGATCCCCCCTGACCAGTTTGTAACAGGCCACAAGATCCCCCCTCAGCCTTCTCTTGTGGAGGCTGAACAGGTTCAGGTCCTGTAGCCTCTCCTCATAGGGCCTGCCCTGC